GGACCTGGCGGCAGGGGCGGGGGCAGCTCTGTGGGCTCGACGGGCTCAACGAACTCGGGAGGTGGGCGGGTGGGTTTCCGGGGAGGTTTCCTCCGCTGCCCGCTCACCTCCGAGATCAGCACAAGAACAAGCGGGAAAAGCAATCTGAAGGCCACCTTCATGGTCCAGATGTTTCCCTGAGGGAGGCAACAAGGGGAAAGGGGGGTTAGGAACGCCTGATTTAGGTACTGCATCATCTGCCATCTCCCCCATCGCTGCAGTCTCTGACAGGCGGGAATTTACCCCACATCCCTGCCAGTAACCTGCTATTTTCTCTCCTTCCCCTTGGAAGTTATCTTTAAATCCAACCCCTCTCTGGAGCATGAGTCACTGAGATCCCCTCTCTCTGGCTCAGCTTTATGCCAGGAAAGGGATTGTGGGCTTTTTTTCATTTGGTTTGGGTTTTATTTTTTTCACACATCACCTGCAGCACTGCCCCACAGAGCCTCACCCCCTCCCCCAGCAGCCCCAGCATCCCTGTGCCCTCTCCCCGAAGGATGGATTGCCCCTTCAGAGGCCGTGATGGATTAGGCTTAATTTTGCACTTGAGCCAAAAAATCAATGATTCAGGAGCAAATTGGCTAAGCAACAGTATCAGGAGGCCAGCAGCAGTTAGCGGGGCAGCAAAGATGGATGGTCCTGGGCTTCAGGGACACGGCTTTAATGCAGGACAGCCCATTTTCAAGGCTGTGTGATAAAAAGGGCATTTGCAAGATTACGCATGGGCAATACCAAAGGTGTTTGGCTATACGTATCCCTGTGCTCCCCAAATAACTGATCCATCACCTCCACTCCCGCTGCAGGGTGCTGGGCTGGTTATCTGGGGAGAGTCCCAGTAGAAGTGGGACATCTGGAAGGATCCGGTGAGGTCTCTGCTTGCCTCTAGCCAGAGAGTTTCTCCTGGACACTGGCCCAACACCTTACACATACCACCTCTCCCTCTTCCCTGGGTCGTTATCAAGCCCACAGAGGCTGCCTGTCCCATCTCTGCCCTCTCTACTGCTGCCTGGAACAGCAGCAATCGTCCCTGCAAGCCTGTTGCTGGTAGTTCTCCAGCTGATGCCTCGGAGGATGAAGGGATCCAGCTTGTTGCAGACGAGCTCTCCAGAAAGCCCCATGCAGAAGGTGCTTTGGATGCTCCAACACTCCCCAGGGCCAGCTGGAGCAGACCAGGCTGTGGGCTTCCTGGGCAGGCAGCAGATACCTCGGCGTGTTCGCCAAGCTTTTCCCGGTGGCATTTGTCACCCCAGCAGGAACAGAGCCGAGCTGGATGCACAGCAAGGCAGATGGAGGAGCTCGGCAGAAGCAGGGTGGGAAAGAGAATCAAGTGAGACGAGATAGGGAGAAAGACAGGAAGGAAGATGAGGAGACTTGGAGGAAGGTGGATCTCCTGGGGAAACAGAGCATCTGCCGTGGGAGCCAGTGCTGCTGGGATGGGAGCGTGGGGCAGAAGCCCTTGGTGATGCTGAGAGGGTTGGGGTTGTTCAGCCTGGAGAAGAGAAGGCTCCGGGGAGACCTCAGAGCCCCTTCCAGTGCCTAAAGGGGCTCCAGGAGAGCTGAGGAGGGACTTCTTACAAGGGCATGGAGTGATAGGATGAGTGGGAATGGCTTCAAATGGAAGAAGGTAGATTTAGATTAGGTATTAGGAAGAAATTTTTCCCTGTGAGGGCGGTGATCCCCTGGGGCAGGGTGCCCCGAGAAGCTGTGGCTGCCCCATCCCTGGAGGTGTTCAAGGCCAGGTTGGACGGGGCTTGGAGCAACCTGGGCTGGGGGGAGGTGGCCCTGCCCGGGGCAGGGGGTGGCACTGGGTGGTCTTCAAGGTCCCTTCCAACCCAAACCATTCTCTGATTCTATGCTGGAGAGAAATCAGGCTCTCCCAGCTCATTGCTCTCTCCCATGCAACACGGGGGAGTTGAGCTTGCTGGTGCACCGCGCTGCTGTCGTGCCTGAGGGGTCATTGGCAACGTGGGCACAGCCAGCCCAGCTCAGCTCGGCTCAGCATGCCCGGTGGGAGCTGCACACAGGCTGGGCTGAGCCGGGCACATCGTGTTTGCCTTTGGGCAGCAGCAGGGAAACGTCCCCGGCCCTCACCCGACCAGCAAGCGGCACAGACCAACGCTGCCAGGGCAGCCGCTGCCACACCAACCCTTTTTTCCCCTTTTTTGGCTACAGCTTCCCACTGGGTCCACATCCCACCCAGGGATGCCCTTAGGGCCCCCTCGATGGACCGCTGCTCCCAGGGCTGCCCGGCTCCCTTTGAAGCCATCCCACACATTCCCGGGGCTCCAAGTAATTGACTTTCTCCAAGAAAAGATCCTGTTCTCGCCCCCCTCCTCCAGGCCCAGCCTGTTACTTTCCTTTTTGTCTCACTCTGCTCCCATCTGGCTCTGTTTAACCCTACAAGCCTCACACGCCTGCTGTTTTCAATCAGAGCTCTGGCATCTCGCTGGGGGAAGGGAGGAACAAGGGAAGAGAAAGGGGGCCCGAACGCTGCCAGATATTCAGCTCAGCAGTGCTGCAGTAAGTCCCCTTTGGGGATGTACGTGCGTGCTTCTGTGTTGTAAGAGCTCAGAATCAATGGTGGGCTGCAGAGAACAGACAAATTCGTGACAGGGAACTGCTCTACGTGCCGTCCCCTCCCTGGCCCTGCAGCACCCCGCTCCTTTCCCAGCCACATCCCTCCCTGCACGTGGCTCTCCCCCCCCCCCCCCCCCCCCCCCCCCCCCCCACA